CCGGAGGCCTCAACAGTGTCACAACAGCTGAAGTGTCACTTCTTCCTCACCCTGGGCACACCGTGATGTAGTGCAGCCCCACTGATTGGGACCCATGCAGCCAGCCTGCTGGGCCACTCTCTCCCAGAATGTCCACAGGTCAAGGGATCTCTACTTCCATCCTTATTTTCCTCAAAAGCTGGTCCCAGCAGTAATCAACCAGACTTCTAGAAAAGAGGAGATATCTGCTCTCAAGGCTGCTGTGGGCTCCAGTGTTGTAATCTACTACTTGAATCTAGTTGTTTATTTCATTCTATAATAATTTAATATAGCAGATGCCAGGAAAAATCTTTGTTTAGATATTATGTCATATCTGGATATATCTGAATCCTAAAGAATTAACCTCAATATTAACAATATTCACTTCTGCCAGTGTCAAGAGTATTTTCTGCTGTTAGGCTTAAATCAATTTTAAAATTTGAGAGTTTTAAAAGCATATCTTTCTGTGTTCATAAATAAACAGAACAAAAATTCTTTGAGTACCTTATATAATTTTTCACACAGAATTAACCAAAGCCTTATTTAATATTTCAAAATCCTCATTTATACATATTAAATATGTGTCTTTGGTTAAAATGCAAGATACTGAAAGAAAAATTCAAATAGGCATTTCAGTAGTTTATGTATAATATCTCATTTGTCTGACATTACAAAGTAAGTACTTTCACAAGTAACGTTTCCAGCTAACTGAAGTCCAATAATAATAGAGGCCACCTTAAGCTGGGAGTATTTGTTTCCTATATTGCCTAATTAAAAAAATATCCTTTTCACTGTAGATAATTGTGCTAATTAAAAGAAGTCAACAGTCTATGGCATAGATTTCCATACATAGCCAGATCTGTGTTTGGATATAATGAATCAAATGAAATAGGAAGTCTAGGAAAATTTTTAAGGTATAAAAAAATTGTATTTAGGTTTGGCTTGAACTTGTTTAAAAATAGATAATGTTTTTTTAAAAAATCACATTTAGGAAACAAGTGTAGTTCTTTTATGAGAGTTCAAAATTAGTGCTGTCAATAACCTTCAGGGCAAATGATCATTTCCTTCAATTTTAACATTCTAAACTTAAAACTGATATTTCATTACCCTTAATTATATCATAAAGTCCAAAATTTTCCTTAGGTGAATAAAATACAAGGGGTAATTACATATTTGTCTGTTGAGCATTATAAGGAAAGTGGCTTTGGGAACAAAAACCATGCTAGAAATCTCCCCAGATGTCTTCCTATGTGGTTTCAGGAACCCCAAAACTATTCTCAGAGCAGTGACTCAAGTTTATTACATTCTGTGTAACCCCAAGTCCAGCTAGCACTCAAAAACAAAACACAAACAAAAAACTCAAAGTCCCCAGCATCCTGTTCTCAAAAGGACATTAATCTGATGTGTTCAATAATTAATATTTGACATTCTAAATTCACTACCAATTTTCAAATGTCAAATGCTATAATTTTATTTTATTTTTTTATTTTTATTTATTTATTTATTTTTGAGACGGAGTCTTGCTCTGTGCCCCAGGCTGGAGTGCAGTGGCGCGATCTTGGCTCACTGCAAGCTCCGCCCCCCGAGTTCACGCCATTCTCCTGCCTCAGCCTCCCAACTAGCTGGGACTACAGGCACCCACCACCACGCCCGGCTAGTTTTTTGTGTTTTTTAGTAGAGACGGGGTTTCACGGTGTTAGCCAGGGTGGTCTCCATCTCCTGACCTTGTGATCCGCCCGCCTCGGCCTCCCAAAGTTCTGGGATTACAGGCTTGAGCCACCGCGCCCGGCCTCTAATTTTATTTTAATTTATGTATTTATTTATGTTTGAGATGGAGTCTTGCCCTGTCACTGAGGCTGGAGTGCAGTGGCACAATCTTGGCTCACTGCAACCTCCACCTCCCAGGTTCAAGCGATTCTCTAGCCTCAGCCTCCCTAGTAGCTGGGACTACAGGTGTGCACCACCATGCCTGGCTAATTTTTGTATTTTTCATAGAGACAGGGTTTTGCCTTGTTGACTAGGCTGGTCTCGAACTCCTGACCTCAGATGGTCCACCACCTCGGCCTCCCAAAGTTCTGGGATTACTGGCGTGAGCCACTGAGCCTGACCAAATGCTACTAATTTTAGCTCAACTTTTATGCAAACCATCTTCCACATTTGAAGTGTTTATTTTCTGAATGAGATAATTTGCTTTCCTTTGCTAATTCACATATGAATTAACATAAGGAAACAATCACAGATCCTTAATTCTCAACGTCTCCTGCCCTACCTCATCTTCTGCCCATTACTCTACATCCTTTATGTCAACACTACGCTTTACAATTTACCAAATACTTCCCTCCTGTTGATTCAACAAATGTTTATGCAGCACCTATTATATCCCACTAGGGGTTTAATGGTCACAACTCTATATTCTCAAGCTCTTCCTTTGGTTATTTATTTTTATAATTCTGTGAGGGTGGCAGGGTGGGTATTGTCCCCATTTTTACAGCTGAGCCAATAAGCTCAGCGTTTACATGATTTTCTCAAGGTCACATAGGTTTTAAGCACAGAACTGGAAGCTAGGACTCCTTATGCCTAATGTCATATGTTGTTATAACAGACTGCCTACTTGAAATGAATTCTGTGTGACACTATTTTAATTCTTTGTTCTCACTCTTAAATTATCTTTAAGCTTTTTTTTCATGTCATTTTCTGTCCTATGAAGCAGAAACTGTGCCTTTTATTTCTTCCTGGTTTTAAGCAGGTGGGAGGCAGGGGTACAGTCTGATAGTAACTGCTGTTAGAAAACAAAAGCCATAACAACATAGATTATTCATGCAGCATGCAGAATTAACTCATGTTGAAAAGAGGTTTCTTCCCATGTTTTCAAGCAGGGCTGATACTCGGGACACATGCAGCCTAGCTGTGTTGGGTGTTAAAACATTTAAATACTGTTGGAAAACCACATCTCTTCTGAGCTTTCTGAGAAGCACTCCTCCAGCACTGGCCTTGGACCCATATGTCTCCCTTTGGGTCAACAGCTGGCACCGCACAGAATCCTGCCCTAAAGCTATAGTCAGCTACTGTCCCAACTGCCTGTGCTTTCTCAGTTGATCATTTTATAAATCTTTTTTTTTTTTCCCTTTTTTTGAGACACAGTTTCGCTCTTGTTGCCCAGGCTGGAGTGCAATGGCATGGTCTCAGGTCACTACAACCTCCACCTGCCAGGTTCAAGCAATTCTCTTACCTCAGCCTCCCAAGTAACTAGGATTACAGGCATCTGCCACCATGCCTGGCTAATTTTTGTATTTTTAGTAGACACAGGAGTTTACCATATTGGCCAGGCTGGTCTCGAACTCCTGACCTGAGGTGATCTGCCCATCTCCGCCTCCCAAAGTGCTGGGATTACAAGCGTGAGCCACCACGCCCAACCTATAAATCGTTACTTTTAGAGACAGGGTCTATCTAGCCCAAACTGGAGTACAGTGGCATGATCCTAGCTCACTGTAGTCTTGAACTCTTCCTGGACTCAAGGGATCCTCCTGCCTCAGCCTCCTGAGTAGCTAGGACTACAGGCATGCACCACCACAACCAGCTAATTTTTAAATTTTCTGTAGAGACAGGATCTTGCTACATTGCCCAGGCTAGCGTCGAACTCCTGGCTTCAAGTGATCTTCCCACTTTAGCCTCCCAGAGTGCTGGGATAACAGGCGTGAGCCACCATACCCAACCAGGTGATACATATTTTTAATAACACTTCTGCTTTCAGAGAAGATCCTAGGGTATAGTCAGGACATTATTATCTAGGCTAAATATCTGTAGTATCAAATCCTATCTTTATATAACAGCACTGGCTTCTTGCCTACTGATGTAATTAGGGGGGTACAGGGAAAACCCTTACTGTTAAGATTGTATTTGCATCTTAATGTGAATGCACGACTTATTAGGTCCTTTCCAATAAAATAGTTACCAGAAAGGGTGGCTCTTCAGGAAGGGAGAATAAAAGGGAGAGGTAGATGCAGAGCATGAAGTACCTGGAGAAGTCAACCTTGAGGGCCTAGACTGGGGTGCTGAGAGAGAAGGCAGTAAAAAACAGGCTTACGAAGATACCCTTTTTTTTTGAGATGAAGTCTCGCTCTGTTGCCCAGGCTGGAGTGCAGTGGCATGATCTTGGCTCACTTCAACTTCTGCCTCTGGGCTTCAAGCGATTCTCCTGCCTTGGCCTCCCGAGTAGCTGCGATTACAGGCATGCCACCACACCTGGCTAATTTTTGTATTTTTAGTAGAGAGACGGAGGTCTCATGATGTTGGTCAGGCTGGTCTCAAACTCCTGACCCCAAGTGATCCGCCCGCCTCAGCCTCCCAAAGTGCTGGGTTTACAGGCGTGAGCCACCACGCCCGGCTGGAAGGTGCCTTTTAAAATATTATTTAGTTTTTTTTTTTTGGTCACTCTAATAAAGTCAGGAAGGTGCCTGTTAATTCCTTTGACCTATGTTGAAATTTGCACTCCTAATATTACTCTCAAACCAAATAAGCCCTTTTCAACAGATATGAAGGACAGCATAAAAAAACCAAAAATCTCATTTCAACATATTAATAAATGGGTTAACTGCCAGAACTTGGGAGTGAAGATGCTTACATTTTTAAAATTTTTATTTGAATGAAATCATTGTAATAATCATTCAAATGATTTGAAATAGAATGATCTCTGTGAAAGGAAGTTTATAGCATCACTATTTATAGAAGAGAAAGCAGCAGAGGTATGTATCTGCAAGTGAATATAACATTGTAAAATCAGCCCACATTAAATACCAAAAAAGAAAGAACAATCAAAATGCAGCATTACTTACAGGATTAAAAAGAAAACTGTGAACAGTACAGAATTAAACTTTTGTATGTGTGAATTTTGACCTGCTATGTTGTTAGCGAAAAGCCTTAGTGTTTGCATAAAATGTGTACCCTGATCCCAACCACCATGAGATCAAGACACAAACTGACGATTCCTTCTTTATTTTACAGCTTTATTACTGATTTTCCTCTAAAAAGAAACCCAAATAAATGTGATGCTGACTCATCTATAGAGTAAGGAATCACAAAGTACCATAGTACTTTACAAAAGCAAAAGCAAAAAAAAAGCGATTGTTTTACCTTTCAACTGCTGATGTTATGTACAATCTATCACAAGAAGCATAGCTGTGCATTCATGAGCTGATTATATCAACCTCTAGAATTTTAGAAACGAACACATCTAAGCATATGGATACTCTCTTACCTTACAAAGTAAAAGTAAGCATTTTCTATTTAAAAATTTTTATTTCTGTGTAAAACAAAGAACTCCTAGAGGTCAAATAATATACCAAACTCATAGCACTATTAAGTCATGAAACAAAGAAGATTCTGAGGTAGAAGTCAAGCAATATAATCCACAATTTCAGGTATTCCCAGCAACCATCGCATCTCGCAAGTAAGATCTATTTTTTTTTAAAGTCTCAACTTCCACAAAATCAATAATCCATTCTCTAAAATCAGATATAAAACTATGACCAACAGAAGACACCCAAACTTTTGTCATGGTAACAGAGTAAATGCTTTTACTAAAAGCTGCCAACATTTCTATCAGTAGTAACCGTAAGGAGGCCGCTGGTTGTAACCATAATGTCCATATTGCTGGGGATAGTAAGGTTCTTGTCTGTGTTGCGGGTAATTGTTACCCCAGGATCGTCCATGCCACTGATTGGATCGATTGTCACTTGGCCACCCCCATCTGTTGTCCCTGCCTCTGAACTGTCTGTTGTCTTGCAACCTACAACAATAAAAACAAAAAAAGTCTTTAAACTTCCCTTGTTAAAAAAACATTATGACAAACCCATAGCAGTGCTTCTGGTATCTCATTCTAATACACAATAAATAAGACTATAAAACATTTTTCACAATAGAGTGTTATAGCACCAGTTATTCAAAACTTTCCTAAGATTGAAATCACTCTTCCAGTGTTATACTAGGTATACTTTACAGAGACATAGGCAGACTATATAACCAATAGAATAGTTCCAAATTAAAGTGAAATCTATTCAATTGCACAAAAACGATATGGTAATTTATTCCTTTGACTATTTTGAATTATTAAGTAAAAGTAACTTCCATTTGTAAACTTCCTAAAGTAAAATCAAAACAATATTTTCTTTCTGGAATTGAACAAGTTGTTGAAAACTCTAGGTTTTTTTTTTGTTTTTTTTTTTTGAGACGGAGTCTCGCTCTGTCACCCAGGCTGGAGTGCGGTGGCGGGATCTCAGCTCACTGCAAGCTCCGCCTCCCGGGTTTACGCCATTCTCCTGCCTCAGCCTCCCGAGTAGCTGGGACTACAGGCGCCCGCCACCTTGCCTGGCTAGTTTTTTGTATTTTTTAGTAGAGACGGGGTTTCATGGTGTTAGCCAGGATGGTCTCGATCTCCTGACCTCGTGATCCGCCCGTCTCGGCCTCCCAAAGTGCTGGGATTACAGGCTTAAGCCACCGCACCTGGCCAACTCTAGGTTTTTAAAGTAGATTTGCATTGAAAATATAGTCTACAGAAAGAACATCTAAAAACAAGAAAACACACACACTTGAACAGCAAGAAAAAATATATGGTGCTGAAAAAATATTAAAGCAAATATCTATCAGAAACAATGTATCAGGTACTGTTATTAGGTACTAGGCATGCCATACTAAAAACAGTGGTCCCTGCCCTCACTGGTCTTCCAGTCTAGCAGATTAAAGCGATCCTCTGCCAGATCAACGATCTGCATTTATTCTTTTGAATACACACCGATTGCCTCTGTTTCTTTGGTTCCCACCAGCTCTGCTATTCCATTCCTCCACAATTGGAGGAGACTCAGGAGGGCGTTTCAGGTATTCCTGATACTCCTTGTCATTTTCTGTGAATCTACTAGCAAACATCTCTTCAAAATTTGGAACAGCTTCGGCGGTGTCAGTCATTCTGAAATTCTGTACAATTTTGAAGACATTTCCATTAAAAAAATTTAAAAATTAACACTCTCTCCAGATAATGAAAAACCAAGAAGTAAGCAATTTTTAGGCAGGGTATTCGTGGAAGCCTTTGTGTGCTTTCAGACTTGTCATATTTTAGATACTGAATTCAACATTTTTTTTTTTTTTTTTTTTTTTTTTGAGACAGGGTCTCTCACTCTGTCACCCAGGCTGGAGCACAGTGGCACAACCTCGGGTCACTGCAGCCTTGACTTCCCTGGCTCAAACAATCCTCCCACCTCAGCCTCCCAAGTTGCTGGGACTACAGGTGCATGCCACCCATACCCAGCTAATTTTCGTATTTTTTGAAGAGATGGGGTCTCGCCATGTTGCCTAGGCTGGAAGTCTTGGGCTTCAGTGATCCTCCCACCTTGGCCTCCCAAAGTGCTGGGATTACAGGCTTGAGCCACTGTGCCTGGCCCAAATTATTTTTCTTACGTTATTAACTTCCAATAAAAGGTTTTGGACAAAGAGATGTGACAATGGAAGCTACTGTGGTAACTTCTTCATTAGCCTGCCTTTCCTCCAAACATATGCAAATATTTGTAACATTTATACTACCTACTTTCACTCCAACAAAATTAAACCGAAATTATTGTTTGGAGTGCAAGAAACAATATGTAGATTTTCTTTTTTTTTTTTTTTTCCCTGAGACAGAGTCTTGCTCTGTCGCCCAGAGCTGGAGTGCAATAGCGCAATCTCAGCACAATGTAACCTCTGCCTCCCAGGTTCAAGCAATTCTCCTGCCTCAGCCTCCCAAGTAGCTGGGATTACAGGCATGTGCCACCACACCCAGCTAATTTTGGTATTTTTAGTAGAGATGGGGTTTTGTTGACCAGGCTGGTCTTGAACTCCTGACCTCATGATCTGCCCGCCTTTGCCTCCCAAAGTGCTGGGATTACAGGTGTGAGCCACTGCACCCAGGTTTTTTTTCTTTCTTCTATTTTTTTTTTGAGACGGAGTTTCACTCTTGTTGCCCAGGCTGGAGTGCAATGGCGTGATCTTGGCTCACTGCAGTCTCCGCCTCCTGAATTCAAGTGATTCTCCTGTCTCAGCCTCCTGAGTAACTAGGATTACAGGTGCACACCTGCCCGCTAATTTTTGTATTTTTAGTAGAGATGGGGTTTCATCATGTTGGCCAGGCTGATCTTCAACTCCTGACCTCAGGTGATCCGCCTGCCTCAGCCTCCCAAAGTGTTGGGATAACAGGCGTGAGCCACCACGCCCAGCCTGACACTCTTATCTTTCAGGCTATTGCTCTTAGTATGCTTTATCAAATGCCAAATATAAAAGACTTTCAATGTGTCTGGGATTGGCAAACTATATGTCAAATTCTCAAATCCAAGGAATGAGTTTTAAATAAATTCAGCTAATTAAAATCATGCCTAGAAGAATTCTACTGGGATCACAGAAATCACTAAAAAGATGACCCATACCTAATCCAGATGGGCAGTAAAAATCGTAAGGCAAGGAAAAGGTGCTACCTCATTTTTATGCTCTCATGTTCTCCCACGACTCCCCACCCACACTCATGTAAACAAATATCAACTGTATTATTACTGAGAATGGAATTCAAATAGAATGTTAATTGACCCAAGCTTTACTTACCCCAAAGATTTGAGGCAGCTGTATTGCTTATTAGGTTGTTTAAATCTGTGGGAGGAAAAAAACAAACTTGACTTTATTTAAGGAAACTCTCAAAAGGCGTTTGCGGGGAGAGGGTAGCGCATAAGAGTCTTACTCAAGGACAGAATTGGAGTAAAAGTGCTCTAAGGCCAGGCGCGGTGGCTCACGCCTGTAATCCCAACACTTTGGGAGGCCAAGGCAGGCGGATCACGAGGTCAGGAGATCGAGACCAGCCTGGCTAACACGGTGAAACCCCGTCTCTCCTAAAAATAGAAAAAATTAGCCGGGCATGGTGGCAAGTGCCTGTAGTCCCAGCTACTCGGGAGGCTGAGGCAGGAGAATCGCTTGAACCTGGGAGGCAGAGGTTGCAGTGAGCCCAGATCGCACCACTGCACTCCAGCCTGGGCGACAGAGCGAGACTCCGTCTCAAAAAAAAAAAAAAACAGCCTGGGCGACAGGAGCGAGACTCCGTCTCAAAAAAAAAAAAAAAAAACCGCTCTAAAGACTTCCAAAACTGGCCGGGCGCGCGGTGGCTCAAGCCTGTAATCCCAGCACTTTGGGAGGCCGAGACGGGCGGATCACGAGGTCAGGAGTTCGAGACCATCCACAACACGGAAACTCCGTCTCTACTAAAAATACAAAAGACTAGCCGGGCGAGGTGGCGGGCGCCTGTAGTCCCCGCTACTCGGGAGGCCGAGGCAGGAGAATGGCGTAAACCCGGGAGGCGGAGCTTGCAGACGAGATCCGCCACTGCACTCCAGCCTGGGCGATACAGCGAGACTCCGTCTCAAAACGCGGGAGGCGGGGGTCGGGGAGCCCCCCGCCAACCCCCCACCGCCCCAGCCCAGGGGGGAAAAGCGAGAAAAAAAAAAAAAAAAAAAAAAAAAAAAAAAGACTTCCAAAACTAACATTCCTGAGAGGGAACTGGTTCTCACAGTGAAGAGCAAGAAGCTACAAGATTTGTCCTCTGGGTCTTCAAAAGCAAAATAGTTCAAGTATGAATAAGAACTTCATAAAATATATATGTTCTTTTAGGATAAGCCTTTCAGATTTGTACTTGAACACTACTAATTTATTCACCATAAATAAAACCACAAAGAACTTTGGCTGTGGGCGACTAACCCTGGAAATAACCAACCAGAATGGGGTTTCGCTGCCCTAGGAGGTGAGCCTGGGGAACAGACGAAGATGCAGACTGAAAACAACTGCGTTTTCCAGTCCGTCCTCAAGGCACATCACAGCTTGCTTACCAAGGTTCTGGCACATTTGCTCCCTTCCGAAGCACCTTATACCTCCAGAAGTGAGGGAAATTATGGGCCGTGAGAAGTAAATGGGTTTCGGTCTAGCAAAGAGTACAGATCACCGCACAGGGGGAGGACACCTCGCCGGCCACCCAGCTTGGCCGCCCCGCTCCCTCCTCCCGGGCGTCCTGGGCGACTCACCGGCCAAGGGCTATGTCTATCCAACTCGGGCCGAACCTCGCCGGCGAGACACTGAGAAGCCGCAGGAGAGGTGACCTCTGACTCACCACACCGTGGAACTCCAGACCACTCCAGCTCTCCAATGTAACGGAGCCCCTTCCTCTAGAATCCAACAATCACCTGATTTCCGCTTCCGGCGGGCTAATGTTGAGGGTGCCTGTCAAGTCTCGCGATAACTAAGGCTCGTCGTGTGGCTCGCTTTGCTACAGATCGCTTCTTCAAATACTGGCGCAACGCCCAGAGCTCGATGAGGTGTGGGCAAGTAGCTGTCTGAAGGTGGATGATGCCCTCCATGCGCTTTCAGCCTGCCTGGTGGGTGGCCAGTCGAAAACGTCGCCGTCTATTAAGCTCCTTTGACTGGGAGCCGTGGACGGGTAGAGACGGAAGTTCTGGGAATCACCGGAGAAGGGAGGGAAAGGCTCCTTCGGCCGCCTGCTCCCGGCGTCTTCGTGGGGAACTGAGGTGAGAGCAGGCCGTGAAGAGTAGACACGACTGATGACTTCAGGGATGCTACACCTTTCTCTCCTGCCTGGGCAAGCCTCGGTAGTAAGATTTCCGTAGTCCGTTTTGTATGTGGTTTTGCAGAAACATACTACTCTCTACTCCAACTTCAGTCGTCAGTATCCAGCTACTTCCAAGAGCCTTGCCCATGTGTTCTGGGATGTTCCGCAAATGTATAAACACTTAATATCCCTACAAAGCTTGGCCTCTTCCCTCCCAAACTACTTCCCAGGCTATGCACCCGTTTTTGTTAATACAATCAACTTGGAAACTTTGATGTCAGATTTGATGCCCTTTCTTTCCTTCCCATGCTCCAATCACTTGCCAAGTCCTGTCGATTGTACCCCTACAGTAATTCTGGCATCCTCTTAACCACTGCCCCCACCTAATCAAAGTTCTCATTACCATCCCCTGCACGGTGTCAGTGCAGTACCTTTCTCATTGATGTCCTGCCTCTAGCATCACTCTGCTACTAATCTATCTTACATATACCTGCTATAGGAGTAGTCATCTTCAAGCACCACTGTGATCCAAAATAGCTGATCCAATGACTCTCTGTTGCCTGTGGATTAAAGGTCAAGTTTATTAACTTGGATTCAAAAGTTTTTTTTGTTTTCTGCTGTTCCCCTTGCATTCTCCCTCAGTCAGTGGTAAACCAGACCCTGTGAAGTACTTTATGCATAAATTATTACATTTTTATAGATTGCTTATGTCCCTTGCATGAAATACCTGTCCGTCTCCCTCATCTCCAAATACTGAAATTCTTTCCATTATTTAAAGCTTTAGAAAGTGACATCTCCACCTAGAAATAATTTTTCTTTCTATTGAAAATCCATCATATTTCTGGAACTTCATGTATTTAGTTATTACCACTTTCTAACTTCGATCTACAATTATTTACTTGCAAGTTTTTCCCCCTATTAAACTGTAAACAGGCCTTTATCTAATGCATTTCTACATTCTGGAGTGTATTAACATTGTGCTTTTTTGTTTGTTTGTTTGTTTCTTTGACACAGGGTCTCATTTTGTTGCCCAGGCTGGAGTGCAGTGACGTGAGCATGGCATACTGCAGCCTCAACTTCCTGGGCTCAGGTGATCCTCTTGGCTCAGCCTCCCGGGAGCTGGGACTACAGGTGCACACCACTGCCCTGCTAATTTTTCGTATTTTTGTAGAGATGAAATTTCACAGTATTGCCCAGTCTGGTCTTGAGCTCTGGGCTCAAGCAGTCCGCCTACCTCAGCCTCCCAAAGGGCTGGGATTACAGGCCTGAGCCACCAAGCCCAGCCCCACATTGTGCTTTTTACGTGAAGTTAGCACTAAGTAAGTGTTTGTGGAATGAATGATAGAACTATGAATATTCCAAGTAATGTTTTAGAAACATTAACCTAGCAAAAGTGTATAGGATAGTATGGATGAGGGAATAGGATAGTCTTGGTGTTGGGTAGTAAAGGTAAGAGGTGTAACAACCAAGGTTACAATAATTGAATAGTACTATCCTGGAGCTCCTGTAGTGCAATTGGTTAGTGTACAGTACTTAATATGAATAGTACTATCCTTAGTTACTGAGTGGATGATGGGAGAAAAAGATTGGCAGAAATCAGGGAAGGAGGCTGGGCGCGGTGGCTCATGCCTGTAATCCCACCACTTTGGGAGGCTGAGGCGGGCGGATCACGAGGTCAGGAGATCAAGACCATCTTGGCGAACACGGTGAAACCCCGTCTCTATTAAAAACACAAAAAATTAGCCGGGCGAGGTGGCGGGCACCTGTAGTCCCAGCTACTCGGGAGGCTGAGGCAGGAGAATGGTGTGAACCTGGGAGGCGGAGCTTGCAGTGAGCCGAGATCGTGCCACTGCATTCCAGCCTGGGCGACAGAGCGAGACTCCATCTCAAAAAAAAAAACAAAAAAAAAAAAAAAGGGAAATCAGGGAAGAAGCTGGGTGCGGTGGCTCACTCCTGTAATCCCAGCACTTTGAGAGACTGAGGCAGGTGGATCACCTGAGGTCAGGAGTTCAAGACCAGCCTGACCAACATGGTGAAATCCTGTCTTTACTAAAAATTCAAAAAACTTAGCCGGGCGTGGTCGCGGGCACCTGTAATCCCAGCTACTCAGGAAGCTGAGGCAGGGAGAATTGCTTCAACCTGGGAGGCAGAGGTTGCAGTGAGCTGAGATTCCACCACTGCACTCCAGCCTGGGCAACAGAGTGAGACTCCATCTTAAAAAAAAAAAAAAAAAAAGAGAGAAATCAGGAAAGACTCCAATTATTTAAGCCTGGGAAATTGGGGCTGAAAAGGAATATCTATAAGGTAAATTGGCTTTAAGGCAAAAATGAACTCAGAGCCCAAATACATTTGTAAAATTTGAAACACTGGTGAAATATTCGAGAGAAAATTTCCGGGGGTGTTGTTAGAAATTCAAGACTAAAGCTCAGGAAAGAGAGTCTCTGCCCAGATGTGTAAATGTGTCAGTAATTCATGAAGAAACAATAGTTGAAATAACTTGTGTACAGATGCTCCCCAACAGGACAGTTTGACTTAACGATTGTTATACTTTACAGTGGTACCATGTGCATTCAGTAGCAGTGTACTTTGAGTACCTATACATTCTATTTTTCACTTTCAGTACAGTAGTCAATAAATTATATGAGATATTCAACACTTTATTATAAAATAAGCTTTGTGTTAAATGAGCCTGCCCAACTATAGGCTAATGTAAGTGTCCCGAGCATGTTTAAGGTAGGTTAAGCCAAACTATGATGTTTGGTAGATTAGGTGTACTAACTGCATTTTTGACTTAATGATATTTCTACTTATGATGGGTTTATCTGGACATAACCCTGTCAAAAATCAAGGAGCAGCTGTATATGATCTTTTCAACAGGGAAAGCATTCATAGAGAAGAGAAGGCTACCAAGGCCTATCCCTCAGGAAATACCCATATTTAGGAGACAAGAATAGGACATAGAAAACTTGAAGGGGGCGGTGTAACAATTGAAAAACTGAGAAAAATGCTTCCCCACCTAATATCAGGAATCAAGGAGGATATTTGGAAAGGGGCTTCTTGTAGGCTAGTTTGCTTGTTTCCTTGTGACTATTACTGACATTATTTGTAAGTAATGAGGACTTACCCAGAAAAGAATATATAGGTTGGGCATCCCTAATCCCCAAATCCAAAATCCAAAATGTCCCCAAATCGAAAACTTTTTGAGTGCCAACATGACACTCAAAGGAAATGCTCATTGGAGCATTTTGGATTTCAGAGTTTCATAGCAGGCATACTCAACTGGTATTTCCCTCCTGTAAATTTGTGTGTGACACTTAGGGGCCTCTAGGCCTCTGAGAGTTTCTATGAAGAACTCTAGGTATTCCAGCAGATTTTCAAATTTTCAAATGAAATTATTTTCTGCCTACCAATGTCTTTTCATACTCTGTTATCTTATTGATTATTATGTCTCATTTTCTGACAACAGGAAATCTGTTTCATGAAGGGGAATTTTCTAGATAACTGACACTCAAACTTTAAGCATCAGAAATTTTTCATTGAAACCACTTTTGATGGAAATGTTTGCAAAATGTGCCTCTTACCTATCTGGTATAACCATAGTATGTGGGCCATAATTTAATCTTTGCTTGGCAACTAAAAGTCACTGTTCAAGCATCAGTTATATTCTTCTGGATATTAATATCCTTGGGCCTGTTGATATGTATGAGAAAGGTTACATCATGATATTTATAGTGTCTTTTTCTACTAATTGTAGACATTTTGTTTTACCTAAGCAGATGTATTTTTTAAATTGTGGTAAAGTATATGTAACATAAAATTTACCATTTTAACCATTTTTAAGTGCAGAGGTCATTGACAGTAAGTACATTCACATTGTTGTGCAACCATCACCACCGTCCATCTCCAGAAATTTTTTCGTCTTCTCACACTGAAATTCTGTGCCCATGAAGCCATAACTGCATTTTCCTCTCCTCCCTGCCCCTAGCAACCACCATTCTACTTTATCTTTATGAATATGACTACTCTAGGTACCTCATGCAAATGAAATACATTATATGCCGTTTTGTGACTGGCTTATTTAACTTAGCATAAGGTCCTCAAGGTTCATCCATATTGTAGCGTATGTCAGAATTTCCTTCCCTTTTATTGAATAATATTGCATTGTATGTTTACACCGTATTTTGTTATCCATTCATCTATTAATGGACACTTGAACTGCTTCCTCTTTTTGGCTATTATGAATAATGTGTCTGTAAATATAGATATACAAATATCTATTTAAGTCCCTGCTTTCTATTCGTTTGAGTATATACCCAGAAGTGGAATTGCTGGATCATATGATAACTTTATTATTAATTTTCTGAGGAACCACCATAGTGTTTTCCATAATGGCTGTGCCATTTTACATTCCCAATAGCAGTGTGCAGTTACTCATAACTTTAAACCTTAGTTTGACCCAATGATCTACAGGCAAAACATACCAGCAGAAAGTCCTGGGGAATCCTAGCATCAAAAGAACTCTACTTTCAGAGGCCATTTGTGATCTTGGACAACAACCACTTTAGAGACAGTAAAGCGGTCAAGAGGTTATGCAATTTATCCAGGGGCACAGCTGG